CACACCGGAGCAGCAGTGATGCGACGCTCGGCGAGGTAAGTAAGAAGACACCTGGCGCTGACTCGAATGGGCTGAAAATCTCGGCTTATACTCGAGTATATACGGTAGGTACAAAACAAAGTGGTCTAAGTTAGGCATAGTTTACCATGTACAGTTGCAATAATAAACTTCAATAATAATTCCTCATTGACCCAATCCCATAAAACTAATTTGGAATCTTAAATGTCAGAAAATAGTAGTTTGCAAAAGTATTAATTTTTCCTATTTTGTTGCATTACCTGGAATTAAAATAGATTTAGATTACATGTAATTGACATGCACAAAATAGTCCAAAATGGTGAGGTTAAATCAAGATAACTTGTTTAAAAAAAATGTATTAAAATGAATTACTCAAATGAAAAAAAGAAAAGTGGTGTGTGCATATCTATTCACCCCTTTTGCTATGAAGCCTCTGCATAAGATCTGGTTCAACCAATTGCCTTCATAAGTCACATAATTAAATAAAGACCACCTGTATGCGATAAGTGTCACATGATCTCAGTCTATAAACGCAAACCCAAGACCTCTCATAACCCTGAGAACACCATGCCTACAGTGAAGCATGGTGGTGGCGGCATCATGCGGTAGGAATGTTTTTCATAGTCTGGGACTGGCAAACTGGTCAGAATTGAAGGAATGATGGATGGCGCTAAATACAGGGAAATTCTTGAGGGAAACCTGTTTCAGTCTTCTAGAGATTTGAGGCTGGGATAGAGGTTCACCTTCCAACAGGACAATGACCCTAAGCATACTGCTAAAGCAACATTCGAGTGATTTAAGGGGAAATATTTAAATGTCTTAGAATGGCCTAGTCAATCCTCAGACCTCAATCCAATTGAGAATCTGTGGCATGACCTAAAGTATACTGTACACCAGCGAAACCCATCCAAGTTAAAGGAGCTGGAGCAGTTTTGCCTTGAAGAATGGGCAAAAATCCCAGTGGCTAAATGTGCCAAGGTTATAGAGATGTACCCAGGGCTGCAACAACTAATCGATTATAATCGATAATGAGAATCGTTGGCAACAATTCTCATTGATTAGTGGCTTTTCGATTAGTTGCAGCTGCTGCTCTGGTCCTCAGCTCTCCTCCCCGTTGGTGCTGGCTGCAACGGTCTGTGTCCTTTTCAATCTTCGCTGCTCTCCCCACCTGTATCGACAGAAGCAATGGGGACACAGACCACTGCTGCAGGCATACCTGCTGTCAATCAGTAAAAGTAAAAAAACGTTGAAAAAGATAGTTAAACTAAAATTAAAAAGACAAAAAAAGTTAGATTAAAAATATAAAACCTTTTTTGGTGTTAAATAAAAGATTGATTATTTTATTATATTGGCTTACAGTTTTACAATTCGGTGGGGAAAGTAATTTTCAGTTTCGGCCTCACAAATTTTGTTGCGTGAGGTGCGTTGCAGTGCCATTCATTTCAATGGATCCCAAATGCACCTCCCGTCCGCAGTGTGATCGCACGCATGGGAATGCGTGGTACTGTAATGCCGTGCATTCCATTGCAGTGCATTTAAAAAAAAAAAATTCTGAAGCAAACTTAGTAACGCTGCATTTGTGTGTTTTTATTTTATTATATGTTATATAATTTTATCCATTTAATCAAAGTTAATAATCGGCTAGTTTCCAATTACACTGCATAATAAAAAATATATTTTAGATGTTTTGTTGCAGCAGGCAAAATGGATGAATCCAGTTTTTCTCTGAGCACCTTCTTAGTGATCTGTCCTTATAGCAAGACTTATGCTAGGACTTTTGTCTTGCAATGGTTGTAAGGTAGGCAGATCGTACTTGCGATGATCGCAAGCCGTGCCCCCCTGAGGGGCGGGCTTCCAATAACCGCAATGCCGAACGGGCAGTGTGCGCTTGCGCACACCGGCCCGTCCGGCTTTTATCTTACGAACATGCTACACACCCGCCGAACATCGTACGATGCTCGGCGGGTTTTCGAACATGTTCGTAAGTTTAAAGTCGTGCGACCTTACAGTAGTACAAAAATCGTACGATCGCGGGATTTCTCATGATTATCGTAAGGTGTCTGTGCACCCTTAGGACTGAACTTTCTGGAGTGTTTCTCTCATTACCATACAATGCAGAAGCCTGGCATTTAATCATTTAACCCTTTGTTAGGAAAATCAGTGTTCAAATCTACCTTACAAATTGTAATGAAATGAGCCAGCACAGTACAGATATGGTTAAAATTGAAAAAACACCCCCTTAAACTTTAAAGAAGGCTAGAAACCTAAACCCAAGTCAAAGCAGTTGTTAAATATTTTTGTTTTTAGCTTATGAAATGTGAATGGGAACATGTAACAAATATAGATGTTTCTCCAATTTGGCTGCAAAGGTGGAAATACACTTTAAAACCATAAAATAGGTGTTTTGTGATGGTGATTCTTAGGCAGTGTTGTAAATATAGACTAATCATGCATGGTGTGTAGTATGTTACTTTCCTGGTTACAATATATGCTTACTACTTTTATGTATGTCGTCAGGTACAGGAATGTTGAAAATAGATTTTGTCGGTGAGTTGAATGATAAAATGAAAGGTTTCTATCGAAGCAAATATGCTACAGCTTCTGGAGAGGTGCACTATGCTGCAGTGACTCAGTTTGAGGTAAGGAGACAGGGCTCATGGGATTGACTAAAGCAATACACAATGTGTATTTATTGTGTTGCTAGCATTGAGAATGTGACATGGTACACATCTGTTTTGCCTTCCAGGCCACAGATGCACGGAGAGCTTTCCCCTGCTGGGATGAGCCTGCTATCAAAGCAACCTTTGATGTTATTCTCATTGTCCCGAAGGACAGGGTAGCTTTGTCAAACATGGTAAGAATTTTCTGTACAATTCCACTGCTAAGTTTAAAATCCATATTGGACACTCGCAAATATTGCTTTATCATTCATTAACGAAGAACCCTGGGAAAAAAAAAACCATTTTCAGCCTACTGTAACTAGCTTTTGGAAGTATAAAAAATATGTGCTTGCCTTTCTCACCTCTCTCACCCTAGGATCATATTACAAGTGTTACTGTCCTATTGATTCAACACTGAACCCTTTCAAATGAATCTTAATCTGGTTTCCCTGTGTCTGCACTCGGCAAAAAAAAGTCACTGGAGCATATAGCATTGTGTAGCTCTGCCTATACACTCCTCCCACTTCCTGTATTTCACAATGCCTCATGGGAGATGTAGTTGGCTCTCTATGCCAGGATGTGACATGCACTGGTTACCTAGATCCTCCTACTGGCTTCAGGACGGACTCATCGAATAGGAGGATGTGACATCACTGGCAGCTAAAAACGAGAATTACAAGAAGAAAGGACTTTTTATAATAAATTGTTACAGCAGTTTGCTTCCTCTGACTGAAGGGGACCTAAGTATATAAAGTGATGTGCATCCTGGAGTTCTTCTTTAAGGGACATCGGAGCAGCAGGTATTCTAATGAAGTGATGTAACCTGTCCTGATGAGGTTAGGGTAAAGTAAAAGTATATTATATTTTTAGTGAGCTCTCTAATGAACAATGAAGAAAATAGAATTTCTCCCCTGTCAGCATGCTGTATTCAAGGACCCTTGCTCTAGGAATTACAGCTTTACTTTCTTTGCAGAGGTCTGACGCATCCCGCTTAGTCACCGCTAGAGCTCTCCAATTAGCAATCAGAATGAGCTTTGCTAATTGCAGAGCTGTTACATAATTAGTCAGGTTAAAAAAGACAAGTTCATCAAGTCCACCAAATAGAAGAGAAAAAAATAACGGAGACGGTGTAATATGTCATGTGTTGCTCATCTGAGGTTGTATTTAACTAATTTTAAGACCTGGTAAGGACTGAATGTTCAGAAAGAAAAATGAATAATACAAATGGTTTTAATACTGGTTTAGGTCTGTAGTGTTACGCTTTCTCAGAAGGCGGTTTACTCCAATGAGTTTTAATATTTTGTAAACATATTTTTTTATTTTGATCTTGTGTAATTTAACAAAATATAATTTTTATTAGGGATGTACCGATGCCGGTTTTTCAGTATCGAGTATGAGTACCGATATTTGTCTTTCAATACTTGCTGATGCCGATTAACGATACCGGAAGTCCCATTAAGGAAGGAAGTAATGACTCGCCCACCTGGCTTCCTGATTAGCCGGGAAGCCATCTCCATGCTTGTCACTAGATGCTCTCTCGTGACGTCGGGTGCCGGATCATTACACGCCACCCGGCTTCCTGATTGGCCAGCAAGTAATAAGGGAGCCGGCTTCGCAGCCAATAATGACTCGCTGCCCGGCTTCCTGATACCTCAAGTATCGGGCTAGGCATCGGAGCATTAGTTGTACTCGTCCAAGTACTCGGTACCGATAGTATTGTCAGTATAGGTGCATCCCTATTTTTTATGATAACTTGTGCAATGTTGGTGCACCTCTTTAAACCCCATAGTTTATGGTTTGTGTCTTTTTTCTTTTGTTAATCCATGCTGACTAATGCTTCTAATATATATTATAATTTCTTGTAAAAACTCATGTATGTGGTCCTTTATCAAACTCTCATGTATCTTCCCAACAATGGAAGTTAAGCTGGTCTGTAGTTACTTGGTAAAAACGTCTATCCCTTTTTAAAAATAAGCACTACATTGGCCTTTCTGATCTTTTTGTACCAAGCCAGTCATTAAAGGGTCTCTAAAAATTAGGAACAATGGCTTTAAAAAAACCCAAGCTCAATTCTGGGGACATGTGTATTGTATATTTAAAGGGGTTGCTTTGCACTCTTTTGCAACCTGTTCATTTTCCTCTCTTGGTTTTTCTTTTTACATATTGTCTTAAGTTTTTTGTAACTTTTAAATGATAAGTGTTTCTTAATTTTTATATTTAAATGCATTTTTCTTTATGGATTTTTTAACATTGGATATGAGCCAAATGGGTTTTACTTTTAGGGTTTAAGTTAAGTTTGACTTTAACGTTTAAAACCACACTATTAGGTCTGGTGACAGGGTCTCCTTAAAATATCCGTGACAGGGTGTGGGAGTAGGGAGTGTTTTGAATGAACTGGCCAACCATTAGGCTTGCATTTTGCCATTGAGCAGCAAATTATGGCCATTGTGTAGCAATGAAAAGTAGGAAGCAAAGCCTGCGTATGTATGTATGGCAGTATTTACTTTGAGTTTATATTGAAAATTAAACATTCCCTTCAAAGTTCACCTGTGCCCAGACTATAGCCATTAAAGGGTTATTAAACCGTCAGGTGTTTTTGCATATATCTACTGCTAGCAAGTTAAATAAAATAAAAAAAACCCCGCTTTAAAAGAGGTTTAAACTTACCTGTGTCTTCTCCGCGCGCTCCCATCCGAAAATCTAAAAAATCTCGGGCGGCCGCAAAGTATCTTGGGGCGGGCGAATGCGCAGTTCGGATTTTCAGCCAGGAGACGAGGAGAGACACAAAGTCTATGTACAGCGTGCACCCGCATGCAGACAGCGTGGGACAGGAAGTGCCAGCAAGCACAGAAGAGTCAGCGCTGGATCGGAGACCCGCAGCAGCGCTGGAGTGAAGGCTGAAAAGGACAGGAAAGAAGGTCGGATTAAGAGACATCAGTTCAGGTAAGTGTTTTCACTAACATTGGGGGGAGGGAAAATAATTTAGCCTTTAATGTCACTAAGTTATATACATATACATCTAGCAGTAAAAGCTTTCTAAACAAGCTGTCCCTGGCCTCTCTAGCTGCTTGTAATCCTCATAGTCAGCAGGACTCACAAATTCAAACAGTGGCCAACTTTCCAGGATTCTGGTGCAATAGACGGTAACGGGGAAAAAAACCTAAGGTTTCTCTGCCCATATTGTGAATGTGAAGGCAAAATTCTCCACAATGCCTATAGCTACATAAGTAAGGGCTTGTTTTAAAGTACTTTTACTGCTTTTTCAGTATATGTGAATACTTTAGTATGGGCACAGGTTCACTTTAAGAAGTTTTATCTCATGCTCTCCATAACAATGCTGCATTTAGCAAGATTCTTATCTATCCTTATGGTTGCTGTTTTTCTCCCTGCAAACATTTTAATTTTGCCTTATTTAAAAAAGCAAAAAACTTTTTGCATTCTTTAATTGTTTGTACCTTTTGTTCTATAGAATTTAATTGAGCGCAAGCCATACCCTGATGACACAAACTTGGTGGAAGTCAAGTTTGCTCGCACACCTATAATGTCAACCTACCTTGTGGCCTTCGTGGTGGGAGAGTATGACTTTGTGGAAACACGATCTGCAGATGGGGTGCTAGTCCGTGTTTACACTCCAGTTGGAAAAGCTGAGCAGGGAAAGTTTGCTTTGGAGGTAGGTTCTGTTTTAGTTCTGCGGATTAGTTTAATTGTATTATGAATTAGTCCCCCACCAATCACTTGTGTGTATTGCTCCTTCAGGTTGCTGCTAAAACGCTGCCTTTCTATAAGGATTACTTCAATGTGCCCTACCCTCTTCCAAAGATTGACCTCATCGCCATTGCAGACTTTGCAGCTGGTAAAGATTCCACTAACTGGCCTGCTGTACAGACAACACCCTGTCTTGTGCTCTGCTTCTCTTCCTCACTCTCTATTTGTTTTTCACAGGAGCCATGGAAAACTGGGGCCTCGTCACATACAGGTACATATGTTACGTCCCTGTTGTATTTGGTGGTCTTTCTTTACTAAAAGCTCTGTGTTTGTTGACTGAGTTCCTTTTCTGTTTCTGCCATACACAGATCTTTTTTTCACTGCCAACAAACATTATTTGCCCATTGTTGTTATGACCTCCCCAGGCAAAATTTCACTGTCGGCAAAAGCTTGCTCTTGCCCATTTTAATTGTTTTGAATTATCACAAAAGTACTGTTTAGATCTTTTGCACCACTATGTATAGGGCTGCCTTTTGGCACCAAACATTTTTGGTGTCCCTGAAGGCTCATGAAGTGTGTAAGGGACAGATTCTTTGACTCTTTAGAAAGTGCGTAAACTTATTAGGGTGTGATGTTTTTAACCACAGAAATCAGAAAATAATTTTCTGATACTTTGCTACAAGGATCAGATGACTAGCAGAACATTTGTGTGATGCCATATGCAATAGCCATTATGTTCTTATAGCTAGTTTGACTAGCGTAAAGTAAACAGACAAAATGCTAAGCGCTTGGTTAGTCTATAGCCAACAGAGAAGGTGAGAGAGGTTCACTGTGTACAAAATATAATTTCTCAAGCATATCTGCTTGCAAAAGGAACATTCCCTCAGATAGGCATTCTCTTATTTGTTGCTTCATGTATCCCAAAGTGTGGTGTTGTAGATTAGAGTAGAATTTCCCCTAAAATGCAAATTTCCTGTATGTTTGTCGGGTTTAATAAAGTTTAAAAAAAACCACTGCAATGTGTTGTACAATGCATTGCAGCATTCAGGCACGCTGTGTTCTTGCTAGTGTATGAAATGACACTATGAAAATTTGTAATGTGTTGCATATGGTTTAACACTATACATTTTAGATTTGTGTGTATGAGATTTTAAGTCCCTATTTTGTTGACTTGAATTGGACTATGCTTCTTAAAGCACCCAAAATAGCAGCATCCAGAATATTTTCCATTGCACAATACAATTTCCCAACACACTCTCAAACTAGTCAGCACAAATAGCCTAATTAAACTGTTTCAAATTATAGATTTATTATTTTGCTCTACGTATGTGCACCTTTCCTACTGCTGGTTATAAATTGATCTGAGCAGCTGCCATTTTAGATTTGGCATCATGGAGGATAATTTCCAAATGCTAAAGAAAATGGGCAGAGACTGTAGACATGCTATAGGAGTTATTGGAAAAAGGAGACGCCCTACATGAGACTGCTAGAGATCACTGCTATTACAGCCCTATTACAAATCGGTGCTCCCTTCTTTTGTGCTCTTTACATCCCCCTTAAACTACCTGTGTCATATTTGATATTTTCCTCAAGATAAACTATTAGAAGGGCCATATCAGAAGCCAAGGGGTGGACAGCACAGAAAAACTGATGACAGAAATTCGTAATGTTAATAGTTTTGTGACTAGGTTTTAACTAGAGTGATACTTGCAGAACTATCACATTCAATGCATACCTGGATAAACCATGTTCTGGCATCTGATATATTTTTATTTTATTTTTTCCCAATTTGAAAGTGATTGTTTCATTTGCATGGTGTCCTTTCTTCAAATTTATATTTAAAATTGATTTTAAAGCTTTTTTATTTTCAAACCGTTATCTACTACTGGATTTTTTATAGTAAATGCATCTGAACAGTTTTACATTTTTTTTTAACTTAGGGATATTAGTGTCCCATTTGCTCAATCAAAAGGTTATTATTAGGAAATCAACAGCGGAGTGTAATTTGTAAACACTGGATTTCACTTAGAGTTGAGAAGTCATGGTCGAAAGTCTCACTAGCCTAAAGTCACACTGCTTTGGTGCTTCATAGTACCCTTATGTGGTCTAATGTTAATCCACTGTCACATATATATTTTCTCTCTTGACCGTAGGGAGACCGCTCTACTTATTGATCCCAAGAACTCTTGTTCTTCCTCCCGCCAGTGGGTGGCGCTAGTTGTTGGTCACGAATTGGCACACCAGTGGTTTGGTAATCTAGTCACAATGGTAAGCATGATGTTCTTGGGCTTTGGTATGTTTGAGCTGTTTTGATTTGTAAATGTAAATATTTTACATTTTTTTTTTTTTATCATTTACATCCAATTATATATTACAAAAAAGACCTGACTATAAGCAGATTTTTAAGAATGTTTTTGTTTTTTTTTGGTATTGCCATTATAGGTCTGTCCATTAAATATTTTTTAGTGTTAAGCATGCATCTTGCTTGCACTTTCACAGTCCCATAATTTATTTTATTCCTTTTTATTTGATATATACACAGCCATACAAAACCTATATTGCCCCTTGTTCTATCAAAGTTTATGAGTGCATTAGAATGTGTGACCAGGGACGTGATCACACATTTTAACATAATCCCGCCCAGTTTTTTGGCAGTGGAATGTGTGACCGGTCATTTTTTTTCTGGTAAAATATGTGACCGGCAAAAAAAAACCCGTGTAGAAAGCTTTTTCAGCTGTTCCAGGGCACATCGGTATCGCAGATGGTATGTGCAGGAGAAGCAATCTGCCCTGGAACAGCTGATCAGTCCTGAAATCTCACTCCTATCGAACTTTGTGATATGTCAGATCGTATACACAAAGTCCGATTTTAGAAGTGAGATTTCCGGACCGATCAGCTGTTCCAGGGCAGATCAGTTCTCCTGCACATACCATCTGCGCTGCCGATCTGCCCTGGAACAGCTGAAAAAGCTTTCAATTCTACACCTTTTGCCCGTCGCATATTTTAACACTGGAAAAAATGGGCGTGACTACGTTAGAATGTGTGACCGGTCACACGTTCCAACCCTGTCACAATCTTTGATAGAACACCCCTTACAAAAAAAAAAAAAATTATACAATTTTAATTCATATAGAATCCTCCTCCCCGATGCACAAAACCAAACAAAAAAAGACCTACTATTCTACCACCTATATAATCAAATACTGCCCAAAATATCTATAACCCACCAGATATATCAAGAGCCACCTCTTGCCTATACCTCGTATAGAAATATGCTGCACTATTATACATTCAAAGCAATATTATATCTAGCTACACTGATCACCATTTCTAGATATAAGGATATATAAACTATTTTTCAGAAAGTGTATATTTTGGGTATATAGTGTATATTGTAAAGTTTACATGAAAGTAAATTATGTGACTGTCACATTTTACTGCTTTTCGTGCCA